GGGCGGGGGACACTATGTGGTAGGATATGGTCAGCAGCAACAAAGAGAGTTCCAGGCACATGGGAAGCTGGGAAGAAAAGATTTCAGGGATTCACAGAAAGAGGGAGACTATCTCAGGCTTCCTTCCTGGCAAAAAACTAGACCTTGGCATAACCTTGAGCACACAAGAGACTTTCCTTCCTTCCCACCCTAACCCAACCTCCAGCCCAACCAGTGAGACAGAAGCGGCTTCTCCGGAAGCAGCTCTGAAGCTTATCAGTCAGCCACTTGCCAGCTTGGGTTGATGTGGGTTCACGAAACCTGGTTGTCTGTGGGCCCCACGTGGACCCCAGGTCTCTCTTCCCACACTCAGAAACTGTGGACGCCCATGTTGTCGATGCAGAACAAGAGGTGCCCCCTGATACAGTGTGGGGAGCAGAGGAGAGACAGAGAAAATAAAGAGCCGTGTTTAGCACCTGCACGCTGGGCTCTCTCCTGTCTGGCCTCTTCCAGGCCTAAAGTACCGAAGTAAAAAGGGGGGAGCAAACTGCTCTTCTCCAGAGCCCGGGAACAACTCACCCCTCCTCTCAGAGCTGCTTCCTGTCCCCTGGTGAGCTACTGCCCCTGCACACTGCCCAGCCCCACCGGGTGCACGCAGATGCTAGGGGCACACCATGGCCTGTGCGTGGCCTGGCTCTGTCCTTGGGGGGGACAATACTCGTTTGCCTCCAGCTTGCCTGTGGAGAAAAGACGTGTCCAACAGTCCTCATCTGGCCCTGGTGAGGTGGCGGCGGGTGAGGGTTTGTGAAACCCCTCAGCAGAGAGAGCTTGGCCCTTCTGTTACCCCAGCACAGTGACCGTGTTCCCCAAGAACAAGCATCCTGTGCCTTTTGCAGAAAACCCATCCACATCTTTATCCCTCCTGCACTTGGCTTTGCCTCTGCCCTGAGTGTTCCTGCACTGGAAGTGTCTGCTCACCTCTCCTACTGGGAGCTGCCCCTGGGAGCTGCCCCTGGGGGTCTGGGCCACCTGAACCCTGAAACAGGAGTTCTGCAGGCCAGCTGGCTGCCCCGGCGGGTTTCTGTCGCGGACTCAAAAGAAGCCCTCAAGCAGCAGCTCTGTCCAAATTATTTCTACCTGGGTAGAAAGACTTGCTTGAAAAGACTTGCTTTTGTAGCAAACTTGCCCTGAATAATTGTTTAAAGTCCCTGTATCCCTCAAGGAGAGATGGGAAATCTTTACCTGGTGTGGCTGAGAATAAAGCCATTCTCTTGCAAATACTTTACAGAATTAATTGTATTCATGATGTAGACTACAAATAAGATTTCCACTTCTGAAACTCCAAATATTTCATTTTGAACTAATTCTATAAACGCTTAGCAGCTCCCTTCTAACAGGATTATATATTTAAAGTTGAAAACAATTTTCACCCCAGGTGTGTGACTTTGATCCTCTAAACAGCTCTTTTGTTTTCTCCTAGGTGAGAACACCTAGTTTAAGAGGGGAATTGGTCATTTCACCACACTTTTTATCTTAGTTAACTATCCATCACTGGTCACACTTTCAGTTAAATTTGGATGTGATGTTTCCATTTGAACATGTTTGTAAAAAACAGAAAAAAGCTCGAAGGCCATAAGCATTTTACCGCACTCTATGGAAAATGCAGCAGGCCTAGTGGGATGCACTGATTTTCTTTAGCATTTTGATTATATGGGTCTGTGAGTTCAGATGAATCAGAGTAAAAATGAAACTCAGCAGGCATGATGAAATCAAGCGAAGCCGCTGAAACGGTTGGGCAGAGCCCGCAGAAATGGTTTCGTTCTCCAAGACTGGGGGACAGAAGTGGGGCCTAATTGAAGAGACAGCTCGCCCGGTTTGTCATCACTCACCTCCTCAAACAGACAGAGACATGTTCAACAACAGATTGGGTTCCTTAAACTGTAGCTTTGCACAGACTTCTGTAACTGGCACAGAGTCGGTTAATCCCTATAAGCACCAGGATAAATGCCCCCCATGCCATGTTTGAAATTATTAAATTGGAATTTAATCCCCTGACATTCAGGCCTTATTGGTAACTGGATGGGGGTGGCTCCAAGGAGCAGTGGAATAAGATCCCCATGCCATCTTTTTAATCAGCAATTGACTTCAAGAGGAGACTGAAGTTGGGGAACCCACCCAGAGTGGTTGCGGAGAAGGCTGTCGGGGTCCTCTGCTATCTTTCCTCCTGAGCCCCTGGGAGGCTGCAAGGGTGCAGAGGAATTTGTTGTGTAAATGACATTTTAAAGGAAGCATTTTATTCATTTGTAAAACAGAAAGGTTAATATTTACCATCTCCCCCTCACTGGGTATGGTAAGTACCCAAGGACATGTGTACAGACTAGAAAGTGCCCTGATGTGGAATCCTTTATCATTACTGTGTCCATGTTGGAACATTTTTAAAAAAGATTTATTTTATTTATTGATGCATATAAGAACTGGAGTGTAGGCCAGAGGTATAGGGGGTGAGACGATTCACCAGAGACAGAGTGGGGGACAGAACAGGCAGACTGACTGAAATACACTGCTGAGAGGAGCAGCGGGGAGACAGGAGAGGTCTGCTGCGCCATGTGGGTCAGCTCCCTGGCTGGGAATCAAACTTGTGCTGCAGTGGCTGGTGATAACTTCACGGAGCTGAGAATTAACCCCAGTGCCACCAGGGAGGCCATGTTGGAATAGTCTTAAAAATAAGTCAGGCATCAACTGCTGGCTGTTCTCTGGCCATTCAGGTACTGGGGATAATATGCTCAGTTCTCTCTCTCTCTCTCTCTCTCTCTCTCTCTCTCTCTCTCTCTCTCCTCCCTCTTCCCCCTCAACTAAAGTATTCCCGTGATTAGGCATTGACTGTGCTTTTGCATTTATGAGGTACCAGGTAAGACCTGGAGTAACAGGTCTTGCTGAAGCTGCAGCACTAGACCAGGTGGTGTGGAGACATGAGCTGGTTCTTTGTTTCATCAGCAGCTCCTAAATAGGTCTCAAGGAGCAACTGCCTTAGAAAAGAAATGTAGACCGACACTGGCCACCACCCTTTCCCTATTTTTTCTTTTTAAATATAATGTCTGCCTGAAATTTACTAGCACTCCTTTCTTGAGCCTAAGTTGCAATCCTTTTTATACCACAACATCTGACATTAACTACAAAACATTTTTTATATTGCAATTTTTTTATGTGCATTTCCCAAAACATGGTTTCAACTTCTTATTCTCCATAGAACTTGGTAAAGTTAGAAACACAACTCAGTTCTTCCTGATTTATTAAAACAACCTAATACTAGCTATAAACTGTTAATACATTTCTTATACACTATTCAACATATGGAATCTTTTTAAGAATGGTAATAAAAGTTTGCAAAAGTGGGATTTTTATAACTAAATTGAATTACTAATTGAGTTCAGAGAAACTAATTCACAGTTAACTTCAGAATTAGAATTGATTAAGTGAGAACCGTTTTAACTTTCTATATTAATGAGTAATGATGACATACTAAAAACGATTCTTGTTTGACAACACAGGAGAACCTGCTGTGTTGAGAGTGACACTTCGACCTGTCTCAAAACATTTGTTTAAAATGAATATTTACTGTCATTTTATGTCAATATGTTTTTCTTAGCCAGTTGAAATTAAATGTTTTATTGAACATTTCTAGTAAGACTCACTGGACAAATGAGGTGTTATTGTTTAATAAATGCACAACAAAGACCTCTTCACCTGCCTCAGTTTTAAAGGTAGTATATTCATTTTCTCTGTGTAAGAAGGGACACATCAATACAATCTCCATCTCTCTCTCTCTCTCTCTCTTAAAATCAGGAGCATTTCACTGTTTACCTGCTGATAGCCTCAATGCACCAAGTAGTAAACAGATAAACACGCATCATTACATTCCTTAGGACATCTAATTGATGACATCGAGTAGGTCTAATTCTCCCTTGATTTATGCAAGTGGCTATAATATTCTATCTCACATAATGATCTGCTAGGAGGCCTCCGGATCCAGGCACTAAAGTCTTTACAATCTCCCCAGGAGGAGTTGGGACGCAGGTGGCGTTCGCTGCCACAGTAGAGGAAACGGAGGGTCTGCCTGACAGCTCCGGGCAAGTCAGTGACTCAGAGAACAGAATCTAGGTCTCCCGATGCCTAGCACACAATCAAAAACGCACAGAATGCCGAGGGAGTTGCTCGATCACGGGTGCTGATGTGAAGATGGAAATGACACCCAGGATGCTCATTGTGGAATCCCCATGGCAACCTGCCGCCATTCCTCTCTGGCTGCTCATAAAACACACTGAAGGGTATCAAACAACATAAAATCCTAATGGTGCCCTTAATTAGGTGGGACCAGCATTCCAGCTCCCTGACCTCCCACCGACCAAGCTAGCAGCCCCAAATTCCTCTCTGTGGGACCAAAACCAGAAAGCTCGGCAATAATAATCTTCAGCTTACAAGGGACCATCAAGCTCTGATGAAGATGAAATTTGATAGCACTAATGTCAGACTTTATATGACCATAATCCAAGTTTACCATGATACATTGTAATGATGTATCATTGTTACAATGATAAATTGAGCCATAATGCTACTATTTATATCACCATAAACTAAGTTTATGGTGATATAAATAGTCATGCTAATGGCATTAACAACAGCACTCAGTGGATCCACAGCTGCTGAGTGCTGCTTTCAAGCTATTAGCATGGCTATTTATATCTCCATAAACTTAGGTGTCACACTTGTTATGTATGACTATCCAAGGATGATGGATAGCCGCGTCCTTTGCCCAAATGGAGGCTCCTGGACTGAGGACAGACTATGGCTGTCTCCCTCCTCTATGTAGGAAGGTCTGTCCAACTGTCCATGTGATTGTGTCACGTGGAATTTCCTTAGCAATTACAGGAGAGCAAGTCTGTCTCCACCATTCTCTGAATTGTTGAGAAACACTGTATAAAACAGAAAAGAAAGTGCAAGCCACAGCTGCTGGGCCAACTTACTGTCTCCTTGGCAACGCAGGGGACCCACGGTCAGTTTGGCTTCTGAGCCTTGGCGGTCTGTATCTCCAACCACCACCTGGCTCACCGGCAGGTGATCTTTGTAGGACAAGAAGCCAGCGTCCTTCCTCCTGAAGCACAGGGAGAGACAGAAGAGGGAGGGAGGCTGAGTTAGAAACACATCTTTTCTGATCACTGCTTGTCTATTGTGCCCAGATTTCAGTAATGTTTACTCGGTCACTGAGTAGAAGCACAGCGAAAGAGCTGGCCTCTCTTCCACTGGGTGATCTTGCTGGGCTTTGCTCAGAAGCATCTGTGACACTTTCACCTTCTGGAAAACAGAACTGACATTCTGACTTCCAGAGGCATCACTGACATCCTATATACTATGCTAGGCTGGAAGTAGACAACCACGTAGCCTCCAATACACACCCCAAAGACTGAGCAGTGTGCAGGGCTGGCTACTGTCATAGATCAAAAGTTCAACAAAGTCAACCTGATCTCTTGCATAATATATGAAACAAAACCCCATGATAAAAATCCTTTGTCTCCTTAATTGCTTACAAGCAGTTGCTTCAGAGGTTTTCTTCCCTGCTGTGCATCAACTAAATGGTGAACACTTTTTTTGGTTCTTACACTTCTTTTTGTTTATTTTAACAACTGAAAGAACTTAATGTGAAGTTTCCAACACAGAGCAGGTGCTCAATAAGTGTCTATTTCCATCTATAATGAGGCCTGGTGCTGAGATTTAAGCCCAATTTGGTTTTCCTCCTAGATTTCTGTTTGTACTATCTTGTTTCAGGTCTCTTAATTCTCTCCCATACTCAGCCCAAATAAAAGGGAAAGAGGCTGGTTGCAAAGTACTGATTCTAGGACAGAGAGCAGGTATCCAGGATACCTGTGGGGGTACCCCAGGGGAGTTCATGCAGCACAGGTATCACCTGGATAGGAAGTCATTGCGCCTTTGTTTTCTTGCCATGAGACCAGGGCTGAGGGGTTCCTCATTTGGGGCAGGAGGGGTGGGAGGTACAAATCAATGCAAAGTCATCCCGCAAATTCCCTCCCTTTGCATCATTTTCTACACTGTTTAGTCTGAACATAAAGGACAAATTTGAAATTGTAAATACAACTGAGCCCAGAAAATTAAACTGATGCTGGACAACAGAAGAATGACAGAGACAGGTGAATAATCAGGTGAAAGATGTGCCATTTGCATCTCTGTAAATAATGCAGTGGATTGAGGGAAATTGACCGGGAAGCCCGCGCTGGTATTAGCCATCACTTATGCTCTGGATTTTTGGAATGTCAGTGAATCTGAGTTCCCTCAGGTCTCAGGACCCACAGAACCCAGGAAGGAGTCACAGAACTTAGCCACTGGGCCTCAAGGAAGCATATGTTACATTGCCCTTAGTTATTTCATTGTTTTCAAGTTTCCAAATAAAGTTGTTGCTTTCGAATTTATCAAATTGGAGCTAAGATTATACAGAAAAGCATTTGATGACCTGGCCTCAAAGATCTCAGAAGAAGCTCTCACAAACTCAACTTCTTATATTAGGACTTTTTTTTATTTATAACAGTTTTTGTTCATAAACAAAGTTTTCTGAAATACAGTCACTTAAAAAAAATACTGTCTATGGTGCTTCCCCACCACAGTGGGAAGCTGAGTGGCTGTGACAGAGACTGCATGACCCTGGAGTCTAACATATTTATTACATGGCCTTTTGTGAAAAAAGTTTGCCAACTCTTGCTCCACCAACAGCCATTTTCCTTTGGGAATTTGTCGCACATACACTCCATGGATGTCATGATGGACTATTGTCACCCAGTGGTTTCCAAAGTTGAATGTGGATGGAGAGGGGCAGAAGAATATTCCAAGCGGGGGAAAGAAACCATTTAAACATTGATTTATTTTTTCAAAGATTTATTTATTCATACATACAAGAACCGGGATACAGGTCAGACGTGGGGGAGGGTGAGAGGATTCACCAGAGACAGAGCGGGGAGCAGAACAGGCAGACCAACTGGAATACACTGCTGAGGGGAGCAGCAGGCAAGACAGGAGAGGTCTGTTGCACAATGTGGGTATCTCCCAGGCCGACCGGGATCGAACCCGCGCTGCAGAGGCTACGGATAGCTTCACAGCACTGCCCTCAACCACCTGCGCCACCAGGGGAGGCCCAACATTGATTTATTTTTAATCTAACAATGAGAAATAACAACCTTCATGAATAATTAACTTGGATTAACTGCAGAGCATGGCAGGAGGAAATGGGTCACCCTGAGGAAATCAGGCTTCTATTCTGAAGGATTGTTGGAGCCCTGCAGTGTGTGGGTGCTCTCAGCCTACAGCTGTCCCAGCATCTCTAAGGCAGTAAGGCCAATTTTGTCAAGGCACTATCTCTGAGTGGGAGACTCTCCATGACATTCTGTAATGAAATGAGTAATGGTCATGAAGATGCAAAGAGTGCTGTTCAAGGAATCCCTATACATGTCAGAAAACGCCTTCAAAGGCAGTCATTATTTTGACCACTAACATCAAGCATTAGTTTTTCCTGTTCTTGACTTTCATATCCATGGGCTCAGGATAGCTTCATCTGTGCTTGGCTTCTTTTACTCAACCTTATGTGCCTAAGACTCATCCATGCTGCTCATCCAAAAAGTATTTTGAATTTAAAAAACGTGCTGTGTTAATACCAAGGCAGGGCTAGACATTGAGACTGAACATTGTTCTGTTGTCCTTTGGGTTGTTTCAGTGTTTGATTATTGTGACTAAAACTGGATGAACATTTTATTAATGTGTTACTTATAAGCAATCATTTATGTTGGGCATTTACCCTTAAGTAGAAATGTCAAGTCAAAATGCTAACTGTCATATATACTAACTTTCATATATGCTATACTTTCATATATACATGCTTAGTTTTAGTAGAAACTCCTAGATAATTAATCAATATACGTTCCCACCAGTAGTGCACAAAAATTCAGGCTGCTCAATACTTGACAATACCTGCTATTATAAGTCCATTTATGATGAGAAAGTAATTTCTCTGTAACAAAACTTGTGTTAATATAAGAGCATTTTGGAAAACAAGGTTTGGAAACATTCCAATCATGTAATTTTGTCAATCAATTATTAAAATTGATAACCTTATAAGAATTTGCACACACACACACTTTCACAATTTGGAAATATAATTCTTTAATTTTTGTAATTGTCTTATAGATGGAGAGTTCTAATGGATTATGGATTTATATGTAATGCTAAAATGGGCAATTATTCAATTATTCTGCAAACAGAACTGATTTACATCAGAGATGATAAAAAATTACAAGTCACATTTTATGAAAACTTTCGGTCAGTAAAATGGAATAATATCATGGTTCATTCAGTGTCTTCAGTTGATATGTATCTTTAGGTAATATTGGTCAACTATGATGATCACTGAGGTCACACATCAGGATGAACAAAACTAAAAGGCAGAGTTCCAATTAGTAACTCAAGATATATAAATAATTATGTGTATTCAATCACATGACAGTCACTAAACATATTTCCCCTACTATTTCAGAGGAAATATTAATTTAACTTTCATCATTTAGAAAAACTCATATTGAACATAAAATGTTTGTATATCAAAACCTATTATTATTTGTATACTTATTTGTATACTTAAGTGTGTGCTCAAATTTTTTTAATGATAGAGTGAGGATAAAAAATATGATGAACAATGCTCTAAGTCATAGACAACAGTAATAATAGTAGAGTTTCCGTCATTGAGAATGTAAATAAAGGACTGTTTTCTTGTATGTAACATCCAATCTGAAATAAATTTTTCTTCATAGGCATCATTATCCTCATTTTACTCATGAGAAGTTTGAGAATCAGAAAATTTATCTTGACCAAGGTCACCAGGACAGAAGTGTAGACTGTAACTAAATCTAGATGAACTGGACCTCAATCTAAGCTTTCCACTGAAAAATGGAAAGAAAACAAAATAGAGAAAACCATAAAACCACTGTCAATTAAAAAGCCTTCTCATTTTAATATTTATTTCTAGATGAGATGAAAATGCACCTTTTAAGATACACTTATCCTGAACTCTTGAGCTTATCTGTGAGCAGTAAGTTCAAAGGTATCTGTAGTTTTTCACTCACACGCTGCCCTCTTACTCTATCGACATGAATAAAAGACATGTAGAACCATCTTCCAAAATAAAGACATTTTGAGGGTATAGTGAAGTTTATGAAAGGTTTTCAGTTCAGCTAATAGTTATAACACTCTTTACCAAAGCAAGAAAACAGGAAAAAAATGATCAGCTGAGGAAAACAAAAGTTACTGTCTAAACTTGGAAACAAATTCGTCACGGAAACAAATTTGTGAATGGCAATAAAGTGGTTTGACCAGGACAAAGTGTCTGTGCTAAAGCACAGCCACTTACAAAAAGTGACATGTGGGCAAAAATAAAATATGCCAGAACCCGCATCGGCCATCTTAGTGTCTGTGTGGAAATTACTCAGCAAGCGATGCAAGCCTTCATGGGAAGTTATGATCTTTACAGATGGAGGTCAATCTAATTTAGGGAGATATTCAGTAACTATTTATCATGTTAGCATAATCTAATTACATCTGTTAGTGGGTTTGTCCCTTAGAAAAACTCGATCATCCATTTCAAATAGGCCATGAACTCAAAGTCTTGTATAATCTTCCTATCAGCATTTTCACTAAAGTAAAATTTGATCTTATGCATTTGCTTCTCAACCAGGCATTTCTGATATTTCACTTCAGTAATATTTTCCTGAGCTGTTCTGTCTTACTCTGTTCTTCCCTTACCTTTTTTCCTTATCCTGCTGAGAAAGGGGAAAAAAAAAAAACAAAAACAAAAAACCTCTAGGCAGTTGGCTCAGTGAAAAAAGGAAAAAAAAAAACAAACACCTAAAGAAAAAAGTAGATATTTCAAGTTTCTGCATTTGGGAGCCTGCTTTTCTACCAGATGTTATGAAAGCTGCTGCACCATGTGTCTGTCCTCCGATTCTAGCAGAGAAGAATGACGTCTCTTTGTGGAGTTTTAGAAGTACTTGGTTACTTGAAAACAAAGACAAAAATAACAGAATTACAGCTAAGCCAGTGAAC